AAAATTGCGGCCGTGCATTCATTACACACACACACATCTTGTCTTTTATATATATATTCAAATAAAAAAGTCGCGAAATTTTTACTCGTTAAAACGAGTATTATAATAATATTATTAATACAATAACATCAAAACCCGCTACTCAAAGTTTGATGTAATAATAATCATCAGGTTGATTATATTTGTTTAATGATTGTTATGACATGAAACTCTGACTAGCTCATTTTGATAATACTGCATTATTATTATAATATCTCAACTCTGTTGACTTTGGTATTGAGTCTTCGGTTTATTTTATATTCCAAACTTTGGCTTTTATTCTTATTATTTGTGTTTTTATATCTATTTACGTTTATCTTTTGATAGTCAGAAGCGAAAAATAAAGAAACGAAAGAAAAGGAATACCGAGAAAGTATAAGGAGACAAGAAAATTGTGAAAAGAACAAATAACCACAACATCCTACGAATGTGCACATATGCACACGTATAGGAGTACACACACGCGCATACACCACTATACACATACATACGCATAAAGAAGAAAAATCAACCTAACACCGATAAAAAAAAGCATAACTTATTTATTTAAGGTTAATGATAATGAAAACGAAAGATTTGGCAGACATTTTCCTGCTACCCCCTGACGAGTGGACGCAACAATTACAGAAAGCTTCGTCTATGAAACTCTGGAGTAGAAGTGCTGCATTATACATCAATAAGCCAAGTAACAAATTATATATATATATATATATATATATATATATATATATATTATTTTTTCATACTGACAAAAACAATTTACTCAACTTCGTTTCGGTGCATTTAGTTGCACCTCGACTGGTGAGAACCAAAATGGTTATGAACAATTCTGTTTGTAAGCAAGCCGCATGTGAAACGTCACTTCTTTTTTTCCGTTTGTTTGACAAAAAAAAAAAAAAAAATACATAAAGCCAAAAAGGTGACGGGGTGAAACAATAGTGGCTCTTGATAGCAGTTTGGTGAAGGATGGTTGAGGTGTTAAAGTGATGGCAAGACCTGGAAATTTTCTTTTCGACAAGAACGGAAAGAAAATTTTCATATGAAAAAATTATAATAAATAATAATTGATCTACTATCTGTATTGAGCCCTCTTTTGAATCAATGTTGTGAACGTTAGAATTTATATATTATTTTCGTTCTCATTACATTAGGATAATATTATCTATATATCTTATCTATATATATATATATATAGCTGACCATTGTACTCGAGGATATTCATCTATTAGACTGGCTAACCAATCCCTACTGCAGGCGTATTTGTGTTTGTTCAACACCCACAGAGCCTACCTGTGGTTCATACTATGCTGAGCAGACCTTAGTTACAGTTTCTGGGAAAAAGCGTGTAATCTAGCGTAATCAGCAATTTGAACAAGGCTAGCACGCTCAAACCTTCGGTCACAAAGACTTGTGACTTCGTGTTAGCACAGCTATCGACGGCCTCCAAGGGTTCCGTCTACCCAATTTCCCTCACAAGGCTTGGGTCAACCCGTGGTATGTTTTTCAGGCACTTTCCAAAGGTGCCGCACTCTGGAATAACATCAGGAAATCTCCTTCCTGACAAATCGACCATAGTGAGATTCGAACCCGGGATTATGATTACAATACAAACGTTCCAACCACTCTGCCACGTGCATATATATATATATATATATATATATATATATATATATATATATATATATATATATCGAGAAAGATCGTTGATGATGCGTGTTTATAAGCAGTAATTTGAATTTTGCTAACCGGAAGTTCTCTGTGGCTGAACGGTTAACAGCACGTTTGGCCAAATGATAGTTTCCGTATGAGATACAGATTCGATTCCTGTTGGAGAAACACATATTTTCTCGGACATTCAGGCCGGTACATGTAATTAATACTGTTTAATGAAAAACAGAGAATTTACTCAAATAAGTTGTAGGCATAAAAAGAATAAATATATATATAGTCATCCACAGACAGACTGTTTCGCAGCTCTTCACTGTGTGTAGACCCCCGATCAATTCAAGCCGGGACCGAAACTCGATCAATTTGGCATCAGTCAGATATCCTATCCTTCGGCTATCGTTGCACGGCAGAGAGAAAAGGGAAATTTTAACGTTTTCTATACGAAAAAGGTGCATTTCGACCGCAAGAATTCATTTCAATTCAACCGAGAAGGTTTCTCTTTTTAATTTTTTGTTATATTTTTCCTAATTCAGAATATGATGTACATCAGGATTAAATTTAGGAATAAACTTTCTCAAGTTCGTTTTTTCCTGTTTTGTTTAAATACTTTCGGCTACATATGACGTCAAATACTTTTAGCTATAAATGACATCAAATACTTTTACCTACATATGACGTCACTTTGAACTTATTCCAATTCCAGCAATCTGAAAACGCCATATTTTATTTACTATAGTGACAACACCCAGTTCTTGATAATGACCGAGTTTCGAAGTACTTGAAAAAACAGAAAAAGTAAAAAACATGAACCTTGGATAGTTTATTTCTAACTACAATCCCGATGTAAAACATTTCATTCGGAAATTGGAAAAATATTTACAATTTAAATAGACGCACTTTGAATTTAACAAACTCCTACAAAGAGGAACGCAGATTCGAACCCTGCCGTAGAACATATTTTCTTTATTAAGTCTCTCGAATATGCAGGTCGGTAGACATAATTCACACTGTTTAAAAAGAAAAGCTGGCGACTACTCAAACATAAGTATACATTAAATTATATATATATATATATAATTTGTTATTGTTGTTACTAGTGTTGTTGAAGTTGTTGCTGCTGTTTTTTTTTCTAAGAAGACTTTCCATTTTAGGTTAGTGTCGCCAGAATATACTAGAAGCAAACCTGCTATATATTTAAAGTTTCTTGAGAAGATCCAAAGAAAAATCTACAATGTTAGTGGGCCTGACCTGGCATCTCGGCTTCAGTCATTTTCCCACCATCCTAACGTAGCTTCTTGTACCTTTTCTATAAATATTTTCATGTTAATTGTTCTGATGAACTTTCCACAATGGTACCTAGATTTTATGAATTTAAGCGCAGTACTAGGTTGGCGGCAAGGTCTCGCACTTCTCGGTTGTGGAACTCTCTTCCGGATTCTTGCTTTCTAGTCAAGTTTGATCTTCAAAAATGTTATTGCGTCATTCATTCACACAAGTTCGTCAGGTAAGTGGCCTGCCCCTATCTCTCTCTTCCTATCTCTCAGTATGTCCCGTGAGTGTTAAATTTTCCAAGCCCTACTTCCTCGTTATGTGTCCAAGTAATTTTCGCTGCCTTTTCCTGATTCCAAGTGTCCTTTCTGTCACCATTTTCTTTAAAACAATATATTTTCACTCAAAAAGTGATTTCCATGATAGAAAACACGAATGCAGCGATTCAAGAAATCTTATTAAAGTAAAATATAATTCGGATTAATAAATAAATAAAATAAATATTTCCTTAATTCTTCAGAAGGTGCTTTGTTTAGATGTGGATACGAAACTGAACAATCAAACACTGAATTTTGAGAATCTATGACGAGAAGAATTTCGCTTAATCGGCAAAACTTTTTTTCGGGGATGAGTCGGTATAGGTACGTCGTATATATATATATATATATATATATATATATATATATATATATATACATCGGGTGTAATTGCAGAAATTGTCCGAACCGTGTAACCGCAAAATCATCCGTTTATTACCTTTGAACTGTTGTATCTTGGAAATGATTAAAGATATCTTACTGGAATTCTCCGAGGTTTTTATAATACTATTGGACTCTACTTTGAGCAATAAGAATGTAAAATTACTCTCCAAGCTTAACAGAAGTATCGTGATAAACGAAAATGACATGTTCATCATTAATTAATCATAGCTAAGGATCGAAAGCTCATGAAGGATTGAGATATATATATATATATATATATATATATATATATATATATATATATATGTGTGTGTGTGTGTGTGTGTGTGTGTGTGTGTGTGTGTGTGTGTGTGTAATTCTAGGACCATTTTCCACCTTATTCAAGATTTCTGTCTTGGTGTAACAAGGTGCCTCACTGGTTTCACGTACGATTTCAGATTTAAGTCTTTTTTCACTGCTCTTTGGACTATCATAGCTGAAACTCCTCTTTCACATGCCAAACGTCTTATGGATTGAGTTGGATCTTTTCTAATTGATTTCTTTAGCTTTTGAAAGTCCCTCTTCCTGTTGTGACCTTCTGATCCAGTTTTCCTCTCTACTGTTCCCTCTTTTTAAAACTTATTCACCATTCTCTTCATGGTCCTTGAAGGGATTTTGATGGAAGCCAGTGTATGAATGTTAGTACCATTACGGAATTCCGGAATAATCTTTTTCCTCTCATCAATGATCATTTGGGAAGACAGTGGGGGCTGACACAAACAATTTTAACCGGTTTTCTTTCTAGCTGAACAGCTCAAAGGGTTTTTCAGTAAATTCTTACGACAAAATGCGTCAAGATAGATAAACGTCTTATATCAAAACCTGGAAAAAAGAAACTCTGATTTTTATTTTGTGTTATGTTGCAATTTTGTTGTTACACCCGATATATATATATATATATATATATATATATATATATATATATATATATATATATATATAACATTGATGTTAGCTTTGTGAAGTTACAGGGGACAACTCTGGTCAGTAACGGGGAAGAAAAAATTAGTTGACTAAGTTGAGGCAATGTCCCCTTACCCGCAAAAGAAAAGAAAATCCTTCCTGAGACACCATTGGTGTCTCACTGCTGACTATTTCCATGGGAGAGTAAAGACACCTCTGATTGGCTGAGAATTAAACTTGTATCAACGGTTTACATTATATTCAAAATGGCTGCTTACACACCAAACAGCCCGCGAATTTCTTACTTAGCTATTTATTAAAGTTCGCTTCAAGAACACAACAATGAGGCACTGAGTACGGGTCAAACTCCCTATACCTGAAATGCTCTACGGAATTCGCTTGTTAATAATGTAAGCGTGTATTAATTAATTAATTAATGTTATAATTATGGAACACTGTGGAATTTGTTTACATATCTTGCCTCGTTTTCATTTACTCATTGTGTTTTCTATCTCTTTTTTTTTTTTTTTTGGTTACTCCCTTTATTTTGCTTTCTTTCTCTGCAGAATCTTATTCTCGCTCACTCTCTTTTTTCTATCTATTCTCTCCCTCTCTCTCTCTCTCTCTCTCCATTGTTTTCGTTCACTCTCCAACCATTCACCCCCCCCCGCACACTTGTCTGTCATCTCCCTGCCTCTATTATTTCTCTTCTTCCTCTTTCCTCACTCTTCACTCACAAATTTGTTTATCATCATGCCTCGTTTAATTAGTTCCCTTCTCACTCTCACTCTCCCCAACCACTCTCCCATACTGTCACCTATTTTGCTCTCTTATTTGTCTTCTTTCTTTTACTCCATACTCTCTTACAAATTTGCCTCTCTTTCATTTCATTTCCTTCTTTCTCTCCTATGCCCTTCTCCCTCCCTCTCTCCCTCTCTTTCACTCTCTCTTACACAAACACTCATCTCACTCTCTCTAAATCCAAGTTATTTTTCTCTCTACCACTCTACGTCGCTCAAACTTGTCCATCCATTTTTTTTTAATCCACTTTCCGCTTTTCTCCGATAAACTACATCCAACAGCAAGGCCTCTGATCAGGAGGTTTTGAGGAGCGTGGAACCACATCTTAATTGCTGGTGTTTCCAGGTCCACCCTCACCCGGGGTGGTAGCACCTGTTAGGACCCCAGCTATGGGCAAATAGTTACCCCCACCTCCCAAAGTAGTCAAAATGTGTAAAAATATTTTAATACCAGCAATACATTTTCGAAAAAAATATTACCAGCAATAAAAATCTTGTTGCCATTAAATAACCCATGGAGGTGTTGATATGCCATAAAACAAACCAAACCAAACCTTTTTTCTCTCTCCACTCTCCCCATCTATCCTATTCTCTCTCTCTCTCTTACACACACACACACACACACTCTCTCTCCCCCTTTCTCTCAGGTCTCTAATCTTCCTGTCTTTCTCAATTCATTTCCTTCTTTCTTTCCTCTATCTCGCTCTCTCTCTCTCTTTCTCTATCAAGTTTGACTGTATCCTCCCAATCAGTTTTATCCTTTTTCTCTCCGGCACAGCCCCTCTCTCTCTCTTATTTTGCATCTCCCTGTTTTTCTTAATTCACAGCATTCTTTATCTTCACACCTCTCTCTCTCTCTCTCTCTCTCTCTCTCACATTCTTTCAAGCTTTTCATTTATCTCGTCTCTCTTTATTCACTCCCTTTTGTGTCTCACTCTCTCAAACTTCTCAGTCTCTTTTTTTCCTGTCTCTTTTAATACACTCTCCTCTTTCTCTCTAATCCCCCTCTCTTTAATCACATTCGTTTTTTTTTTGTCATTTTCGTCACTCTCATTTAATTTCTCATCGTCATCTTCCAATTTCGTGCCTTTTTCCAGGTCCCGTTTGCTTTCTTTTTTTCCAAACCACTCTCTCTTTTCTGTCTTTCTCTCTGTTTACTATCTTAAGCTTTATTTTCCCTTTTATACGAAAGCATGCTGAATATAAACAAAAGTAAATAAATAATTCTGTCAGTGTTTCACTATTCCTACTGACCACTCCTGAAACTGTCCTCACTCGTTTATTGCTTACCATTACATTACAACGAGGTTCTTGCCCGCGCCCAGATACCCAGCCTCTTCACCTTGATTCCCCAACCATGTTTTCCGCTGACAAAACAATATGCACCATATGTCAGACGGAAAGACCCCCGTAAGATCTATTGGAAAAGCGAGCTAGCTTCCTACAAATCAACACACGGAGATGTCTGCATAAGAGACATGAAATTGCCGAGAATGAACGTCAAGAAGCGAGAAAAAACAGCTAGCAATTTTTTATTGTTGGGGGTGAGACTTACACTGTGATTTAAAATGAGGAAGGTATGTGATTTCTGAAGAATTGAGCACTCGGCAAAAAGCAGCACGAAGACAATATCGGAAGACAGCACCTTTAGGTGCACTTGCCGCAGCTGAGACTGTCTACAGTCACAAAATAGTCTGCCCGACTTACTCAGACTGAAGCTAGAATTTCCAAGCGAAGATCCAAAATCACACGAGAGGTTACATAATCACATATAATCACACGAGATGTTACAGTTATTATTTCGGAAATCGTAAAATTGTTAAGGGGCAACAACTCAAAACGTTTTTTTTTTATGAAAGTTAAAATTTCATCATTAATTTTTTTCTGGCTTTTACGTTTTCCAATATACGATTGTTTATATGCAACAACTGTACTCAACAGGTGTAGACTGTTGCCTTTTGTTATGGTTGACTTTTCAACTTCATCCCAAAATGGCTGACAATTCACTGTATTATCTGTCATTTCTCACTCTGTCTTAAAACACTAATTATCATAATTTATCCAACGATATCTCTCTCTCTCTCTCTCTCTATATATATATATATATATATATATATATATATATGCACTTGATTTTCTTTACTGAACTACTACTGTTTCTCACTCTTTCTACTATTTCTGTTCACTGTCCAGCCACACCCACACAGGCTTCTATGTCATCTCCCTGTCTATGTTAATTCTCTTTCGCCCTCCCTTTCTCTCTAAGCTCTCTCTCTTTTAATTATCTCCTTTTATTCTCTTCAACAACGGCGCACCACCCACACACTTGTCTGTCACCTCTCTTTTTCTCTCCAGTCTCTTCTTTCTTTGTCTGCACTCCCTCTCTCTGTCTTTTTCAAACTTATCTATCATCTTCTCATCTAAGCTCCACCTCTCAAACTTGATTTCCCTCTCTTTCTTTATCTCTCCTTCTCACGCTCTTTTTCATCCTTTTTTTTCTCTATACTTCTTATCTATTATTACTAACGAGCTTTTTCCATTTCCTTTTTTTTTTGTAATATTTTTTTGTCTTCATCCATAGTTTTATTATTATTATTATTATTATTATTATTATTATTATTATTATCTATACATCTGGCTTGAGTCATTTTCTTTCTTTCTTTCTTTCTTTCTTTCTTTCTTTCTTTCTTTCTTCATTTGTTGTTGTTGTTGTTGTTGTTAATAAAACAGAAAGTACAATTGTACGTAATTTGTCGACGTAAATGTTTCTTCAGCTGTTTGCCCTGAACCGGATTTGGCGAGATGCCCTGATTGTCGTCAGTAGATCCATCTACATTTATCTACATCTATCCGTAATCTGTTTTGATGATCTTCACCAGTCAACTCGCTCCCTACCGAGCAGAGTTCAGTAAAATCATGCGATTAAGAAGAAATAAATAACTAAATAAATAATGAATAATTTAAAACGGGAAAGGAAAGAATGTTGTTTGTGTCGAATTTTTTGAAAGTGTCAACTCGTTGAAATTCTGTTTAGATAATCAGTTCTTGGTATCTGGGAGGGGAAAACAAATACAGCAATGACAACAAAAAGATGAATTACTAAAGTTTAGTCTGGAACAGGGTCTCAATTTTGGAGGTGAGCAAGAAGATTGTGTTGCGCCAAATTTTTAAGTGAATTCTTCCCTTGAAATTTCAACGTTCGAAAGGATTTCTGCTTGGGCTTGAAGAGTGATTACTTACGCTAGTGCAAGGCATGAAACAATTTCGGCTGCCGAACAGACTCCAAAAGGAAGAGTAATGGCGATTAAAGAAAGAAAAGCAGGGTGGAATGAATAATTAAAGAAAGAAGGAAAAAAGAAAGTAAGAAAGATAATATATGGAATATGTACTCAACGAAAGAAAAGCAGGGTGCAATGAATAATCAGGGCAAGAAAGAAAGAAAGAAAGAAAGAAACAAAGAAACAAAGAAAGAAACAAAGAAACAAAGAAAGATGGAATGAGTACTCAATCAAAAAAAAGAAAGAAAAAGATGGAATGCGTGATCGAGCGAAGAAAGAAAGAAAGAAAGAAAGATATATGGAATGAGTACTCAATGAAAGAAAGAAAAAGCAGAGAGGAAGCGTACTCAATGAAAGAAAGAAAGACAGAAAGAAAAGTAGGGTGGAACGAATACTCAATCAAAGAAAGAAAGAAAGAAAGAAAGAATGAAAGAAAGAAAGATGGAATGCTTACTCAATCAAAGAAAGATAGAAAAGCAGGGTGGAATGAAGAAAGAAAGAAAGAAAGAAAGAAAGAAAGAAAGAAAGAAAGAAAGAAAGAATGGAATTAGTACTCAATCAAAGAAAGAAAGATAAAAAGAAAGGTGGAATGCGTACTCAATCAACGAAAGAAAGAAAAGCAGGCTGAAATGAGTAATCAAAGAAAGAAAGAAAGAAAGAAAGAAAGAAAGAAAGAAAGAAAGAAAGAAAGAAAGATGGAATGAGTACTCAATCAAAAAAGAAAGAAAGAAAAGATGGAGTGCGTGATCGAGCGAAGAAAGAAAGAAAGATCGAGATTATAGAATGTGTGCACGCTCGAAGATGAAATAAAGCGCGGTTGTTCAAAGAAACAGGTTAATATATGTGCAAGTGAAAAAAAAATCAAGAATTTAACAAGAAAATAAAAAAAAAAAAGCCAGGAGGGAAAAATGTTAACGTTTCTTTTGGCAGGACGATTAATCGAACTGAAAGAAAAGATTTCACTTCAATTTTAGACTTTTATGATTTATATTTATCATAATTTTAAATTGAAGAAAAACACTTTTTGTCTTTTTAGATTTGGCCATTTTTTCAGCATCAGACGAAGAGAGTGTTTTATTCTTAAAAGCCATCCACAATCATTTCACGAATCAAACCTTCCTTTATGAAACAATTTACATCTTTTAAAAACACGACGTGAAATAATCAGCTTTCGTTTCGTCTCGTGTCATCTACGCCTCGGTTGTTTGTGGCAAATTCATCAATGGTTTTATATCGTCATTGCCTCGTTAAAATCAATATTTTTGTGATTCTATTCAATGTCGCATGGCGAATGAGAGAGGAAGAGGGGGAGAAGCAGAAAAGATTTATTTTAATTGACAGAAGAATTTTTTTTTTTTAACTTAAGATTAAAATTTGTTTTACATTTTTTCAGTGGATAAATTCTAATTTTTTAAATGTCCTTTTTTTTTTATTGTCATCGAAAAAAATTAATTCTTAAAACTACTAAACAAAAATCACAAAAACGGGGTGTATTTTTTACCTTTCCTAAACTTGAATAGCAACAGAATTTCTAAGAAGCAAATTTGATTCCTTCTTTGGAACTTTTAAACGACTTTCCGACAGCCTTAATTTATTTAGATTTACTCAAGTCATTCAACGTTACTCGGGATTAAAATATCATTCAAGATCATCATTAACCCTTTAAAGCTAATTTTCTATAATTTGGTTCACATCTAACATCATAGTAATTTACATCGTTCAGTCTTTTGTCTTTATCTTTATTGCTATATTCATGACGTTTCGGCCGTTATACGATCTGACCTTCTTCAGGTGATATAGATTGGAATTTCAGACTGAACCCTTTATTTAGTCCATGGTGATAGACTGTCCTAATTCCATATGCAATGCCTTTTTTGGATATTTTAGTTTCAGAAGGCCGGAGCGTACAACGGCCGAAACGTTGTGACAAATATGGCGACAAAGATGAGGACAATAGTCCGACTAATGTAAATACTGTACATAATACCTCATCTCAGAAATATAGACAAACTCCGGATTTTAGTTTCAGTTAATTCCCTTTAGTAGCTCAACTCTGCAAGATTTTGTTCCCTCTGCTGTGTCCAGGTATTGAACTCAAAACTCTTTGGATCAAGTCACTTTTTGGATGACTTCAACCAATGCTTTTATCCACTTAACTGAAACGAAGATATCTGAAAAAAAGTCATTTTTACCTTCCTCCCTATATTTATTTACAGTAATTGAAATAAACTCGAACGATTAACATTTGTAATTTTAGAAAAAAATGTGAAAATTTAGCGTATATAGTAAGCGTTTATAAAATAAATATTCTCTAATAGTTAATGCAAAACCATTTTCTGTATCCTGACCATTAGATCATCGCGAAACTTTGAGTTGATCTTCGATAAGTATCTTGCACTTTTAATATTTTTGATACAATATTTTCTGTAACATTTATCTTTTACTTCGCTCAATCTTTCTACCGGGTACGATGGGTAAATTGTCGCCATTTTATATTTTTCATTTTACGCATGCGCGTTGTTTGTTTTTGATTTTGTCGACTGCACAGTATAGTAGGGTCAGTTGGGCACTGTCTGTGAGAAAAAGAACGACATAACATAATTCACTCTGCCAGAAATTTGGAAACGGTATGCTGTTCTGCTTGGCATTCGCACCAGAAACTCCAATACGAACATTTCAGAGTGTTTGGATGTCAATCTGGGGATAGTGTAGAGGATTCGGAAAGATTTGAATGAGTCAAATGGTGATTACGAAGGTACAACAGCTTAGAAAACTGACTCTGATCGTTCTGATAAGAAAAGAACTCCCGAATTTGTTGGTGAGGGCCTCAGACTCAACACGGAGGACTACATCAATTTCTGCGACCACATCATCCCTTACCTCTGGCCACCTAAATCTCCAGACTGAAACCGCCTTGATTATTATGCGTGGGGGCACAGTTGACCGAGAGACCAGCATAATTATTTGTAAAACCAAAGATGAACTGAAGGCAAGGATTATGGCAGCAATCACCAACTTAAACAAGATCGTCCAGAAGAGTTGCAGGAGATTCCGAAGCCTTCTAGGGGACGTGGTAGAAGCCAATGGCGATTTTATTGAATAAATTTACTCTTTAGTATTTCAAGATGTTTTTGTGTAATTTTGGTAAATATATCTGTTAAAATGAGATGTCAGTGTTATTTTCATTTTGGCGTCATTTAGACGAAAATTTATCCATCGTATCCTGTATTTATCTATCACACACACTGCATGTTTTTAAATAATATTTGCTCTCTCCTTTTTAATTCTTTTACATCCTCCCTCCCTCCTCTCTCTCTCTCTCTCTCTCTCATTTTTTCCGTTCTGTCCAACTTTAGAGGGGATTGTCTTTCGAAATCTCCATTTCTCACTTCGAGTTTTCTGTTAGTTTGCCGATGAGATTGATTGCATCTAACGTGATATGTTTTTTCTGTTACTTTAAACGAATCACTTTGGCATTTTAAGAAATAAATTTTACCCGAGGAATAATTTCAAACTTAATCCTGATAAACGTTAGTGCCAAAAAAAAAAAAAAGGTTTTGGCACTGAATCAACCGAAATCCTTTCAAAGAAAATCATTTAGCGTTAAGTGCCTCCGTTTCAACCAGCCAGCCGCCCAGCCAGTTCTTGATTGACGCATACAAAAAGGGGCGATTTTCTACGTCCCCTTTTCCCTTCCTGTAAAGATTGGTGAGTGGGACGCCTACCATAGAGTAGCATTTTTTTTCACTCAATACAAGGCCGAAGAGCCAGGTAGTGTGTTACTGAATGAGATTGTTTTTTTTATGTAAGGAGGTAATAAGTTCAAATTAAGATAAATAACGATTGATCCTTGACTAAAAGTTTAAGATTTCCGTGATCGGGGAAGCATCTTCTCAAGAGTCTATTCCAGAAAGTAGTGATTCTCAGGAAAAAATGGTTGTCTGTGTAGAACTTCCTCTTTATTAATGGAATATGAAATGATCGTTCGGCCCTGTGCACATTTTATTTAACCGGCCAATCTAAGAATTATTTACATTATTCAGACTATTTTTCTCATCTTTGTTGGGATATTTATCACAACGTTTCGACCGTTGTACGCTCCGACCTTCTTAGGTGGTTGGAATGTCGAACTGAACCCTTTATTTCGCTCACTGGGGTAGACTGTTCTAGTTCCACGTGCCATGTTTAATGGATGTCAGTTATCTTCTGTTAATTCACCTCTCCAAGTTCTCCACTGCCGTAACCAGGTATTGAACTCACAACTCTTTGGGTCCTGTCACTGGATTTAAGCAACGCCTTTGTTGTGATAAATATGGCAACAAAGATGAGAACAATAGTCTGAATAATGTAAATTGTGTTCATAATGCCTCATCTCAGAAATATAGACAGATACTAAGAATCATTGTAAATGAGTTTGATCCTTGCTCTCCATCTAATGAGTTCGATCCTTGCTCTCCATCTAATGAGTTCGATCCCCACTCTCCGGCCAATGAGCAGATATTTATTCAACTTCCTCAGTTAAATATTATCGTTCTGCCAATTAATGAAAACATTAGACAATCTCGCATGCGTACTTCGTCTATCACCGTCGAGCAGTTGGTGTGTGATATAGGGAGGGGGCGTTTGTATGCGTATGCGTACATTTCAGACGCAGTTGGGTTGACTACAAGTCAACCTGTCGAGATCAGCCATTGATATCTTGTGAGGCGTGGATCCACACTTGGTGACTAGGAGATCATCTATCCGACGATGTAGCTGGTTTCCTAAAAGGACTCTAAAAGATAGGTACACCTCAGTATAATCTGAGGTGTTTCACACACTACATCTGGTGGAAGGTCACTCTTGAGAGTGCGTATTATACATTGATTGTTAGTAAGCACTGATTAAGAGTTCAGCCGTAGAAAGTTGCTCTGATATCGTGGCCTTGTGCTAGACAAAATTAAGCTTAGTAAATATCTACAGTGCACGCCTGATTAGAACGAATCCTCTGAATTCGATCCTTACGGACTACTGGGAAATATCTACAGATATTGTACTTGTTATTTAACCCTGCAGAGTCCCCTATGATGTATTAGGCCACAGCCTCACCACACTAGGTATTGCTTCTAGCAAGCAGGCTTTTTATTGTATGAAGCTGCTAGCCCCACGCCTAAAATGTTTTGAATTCGAAGTTATCTTTTTTCTCCTTTTGATCACAATGAGTAGTCTCGCGAGCCACATGCAGCTAGCGGGCTATATTTTGTGCAGGCCTGCCCTAACAGAAATCTCGTCACAATGTGTCATTGTTGATTCACGTAGAAGACATTGTTATGTTTGAACAAAATGAAGTCCTTTCCACATTTCCCGGTGAATTAGCTTCACTACTCCATAAATTGATTGTTTAGCTGTTTATATGCCTTTGTTATCAGTTTGTATTCATGGAATTTTCACAGGTGACAGAAAGTCGTTTTAATAGTACAGCACCTTCCTCAGTATTCCTTTTGATTCTCAGTAATGCTTTCATCCGGGCAACTTCTGATCTCCAGTTCTTCCACTCTTTTTGCAAGAGCGACTATGCCGAGTGTACCCATAATCATTGGTATAACTGTCACGTTTATGTTCCGCAATTTTTTCACATCCCTGGCAAAGTTCAGATCTGGTTTGCGTATAATCTATTAACTTTGACATTTTCCGGTGGAAATAAAGATACCTGTTTCTGATAAAAATA